TTTTTTTTTTTTTTTTTTTTTTTTTTTTTTTTTTTTTTTTTTTTTTTTTTTTTTTTTTTTTTTTTTTTTTTTTTTTTTTTTTTTGTGCGGAAACATTCATTTAAAATCATTCACAAAATGATGTCATAGACCTATATGTTTGCATTAAAGGCTTGTAAATAAAATAACAAAAAAAAACCAATGTGAAATATAAATAAATCAAAGAGAAGATTGAAAACAATGCCCTAATCTATTGAAAACGATGCCCTAATCTAACCTAAGATCTACAAAAATGAAATGTGACTACCCTAGCACAAGTTCTATGGTACGCGACATCGTTGTTATCAGTACGAATATTTGTATTTTAAAAAATACTCACTAAGAGACCCCGAAATACAAACACATACAACATAAATGAGACCTGTCATTTAAAATCATCTTCTGTTAGGTGAACTTTTAGTTTGAGCAAATTGGATGTGTAGTACTTCTCTACACACGACCCACATGTGCGAGCATGGACCGACCAGGCGGGTTCGTATACTCCCTGTGCTTACTAGTCGATCTAACTTCTCTAGTACTATTGTCGGACACTCAAAGGGAATAACGACTGTCGTAGCATCATTATAAACATGATGATCATTTCCATCTCATAGTGTACGTGTTTGTACTCATCATAAAGGGAAAGTATCCTGATGCACATGAACATACAATTATGCATGAGGTCCTCATAATTTTTCATTGTAAATAAACCATGCTAGACAACTCCATTCATTTCGCACATATTATACTCGATAATATGCGTGCATAAGCTCTCATAAAATCATTTCATTCATAACATAACTTTTAAATCGTAGCTTAGAGGTTGTGTTGTGCATAGTAAAGTTCTTTATTTCAAGATACATCATAACATGTCATAACGAATCATGGCCTAACACAATCATATCTTTCTCTTTTTTTTTCCTTTTCCAAATTGATCTTTTGTTTCATATTTAAAGTGATTATTAATTAGTCTAAAAAAACAAATACAGTGTCTATCTAAACCCTAAGATCATTGCAATGCTTAAGGAATTTTTGCAGATCATAAATTACAAATTCGTTCAGAATTGATATTAATTCTTGAATGGACGTTTGATTCTAGCGTTTAAAGAAAGAAAATGATAAACAAAAAGTTAAATGGAGTAAAATATTTTAGAAGATTCCTCCGCTTCATTCATCTAAATCTCATCTCATCTCATCTCAATCACCATCATATATTAAAACAACAATGCGGTCAGCCATTGACTTGCTTCGCCGCCTCCATTTATCTTAAGCCCATTCGCCATAAATCCAAGCTGGTGGAAGGGCATTTGAGCACGAGGAATAGGATAAAGCACGAGAGTATTTATGGCGGCGTCGAAGCTCCAAGCCTTCTGGAACCATCCTGCTGGCCCTAAAACCAGTTAGTTTCTTCCATTTTTCGCAATCCCTGCTTTAATTCTTGTTCTTTAGCGGTCAAATTCAAGTATGGTATCTCATTTTTTCTTTCGTCTTAGGGCTTGCTCATACCGTCTCGTTTTATAAGAAGAATCTGGATCGCGAACGATCCGTTTTCAATTTGATTGATTGCTTAAATTTTGCTCCGATGATCGTTGATTTTCAGATGCCAGATGATTTTATAGAATGATTAATGCAGAATCTAAAACGAGTATCTACCTACTATTAGTCAGTCAAATTGAAACTATATCGTGAATGATCTACATAATCGCAATTACTTCATATTTAGAATCCATAGGCTACGTTCTTTCTCGTGAATCATCTTTTAATTCAATATTTCTTCGGGTTGTGTTCTGCGCAATTGAAGGCGTAAGGACATCCCGAGCAGAGGAAAATATTCAGAGGAGGAACCTTCAGATAGGTAAGACTCACTTGATGTACTTGGACCCTGGGCAACTTTTTTATGAATAGCTATCCCAATTAGACCATCCCATAATACTATCTGATGAGCGGTGTAAAATAAGCTTAGTTCATGTTGGGCTTGACTAGCTAGGGTGAAATATGTCCCCCTGCCTGGGTAAGCCAGCTGATTGAGCCAGAGTCTCATTTGATAGTTTTGGACAATTTTTTCCCACATCTGGGCTCTTATTTGCTTGTTTCTGCTTCATGATGAGGTTAACGTTACTAACTTCTTTTGGTTGTAGCGTGATAAATGGAATGTGTGTGTTTTGTCGAAATGGAATGCCTTATCTTTTTATTTTTTCCTTTTTCGTTAATGGGTTAAGGGCAGGGGTTCCGTTATAAATTAAATATGGTATACCCAACCCAAATCAGCATATTTTTTTGTTTTATGCCTAGTAATTCTTCTTCAGCCAGGCTTCGACAGAATGGGAAATCAAGTACAAGTATTAGTAGAATAGCAAAAATGTGTTCCTCGTTATTAATATGTTTACTTGCGGTAATTGTGACCTCTCGGGAGAATCGATGACTGCATCAAAGATGCACTTGCTAGTACTAGTACATCTGAAAATTCTTAATTGGCTAGTTGTTAGACCCAAAATGTGGAACAAAGGATTATCCCGTACCTACACCGAGGTATTGACGGTGATTCTCATTCTCAAATATCGCAAAACAGAATTTGATATGATGAGATAGAATGCAATAGAAACAAAGACACAGCCTCTTAATGCCCATTGCCCATCATTCTACAAGTTCTTTTCTTGTCAGGCATTACCATAGGGACCGTAATTCTCTAGTTAGAATCTTTTTTCTCAAGAAATTTGCCCGGACTTTCGCATATTATTGCGGTGCCCGTACATCTGTCTTCATGTGAATGATCTTCTACTCTTTCGTTTTCGATCAAGTAATGTTGGTATGTTTCAAGTGACTGCATATCTGGACTGAAGGAAACTTGTTTCACCTCATCACTATATAATGACCCCTTTTGCACTTCTTTCCAGATTAGAACATTGTTTGTTATTCGTAAATAAACAACAAAAACTATATCTCTTCCTTGTTTCTCATTTTATGGTTTCTTATTAGCTTCTCTAGAATTAACATATAATGGTTGTGATGATTACAAGGCTTCTTTGTTTTCAACTAAAATGAGCAATCAGTAGAGGATTTCTGTGAGCTAATTCCTCTTTTTAATACAGTTCACTTCTGGGCACCAACCTTTAAGTGGGGTATCAGTATAGCCAATATTGCTGACTTCTCTAAGCCACCAGAGAAACTTTCTTATCCTCAGCAAATAGGTATGTGTTCTATAGCAAAGGTCATTCAAACCATGTAAAGTTTGCACCTTCCCAGTTTTTCTCTCGCCTCTATCGCTTCACACTTGCACTCATATTGCAATATTGAGAAGTTTAGTAACTTAATTTCTGTTCCCTACTATTTTTGTTTGATTCTTGTGTTCGAATAATTCCTTTATTAACATTTTTTTTCGTCTTATCATATGCTTCCAGCTGTTACAGCCACTGGAATTATCTGGTCACGTTACAGCACCGTGATCACACCGGTAAGTTAAAGAAATGACATGACTAATGATTGATGAAACATAAAGTGATAATAGTGTGACCATATGAATGACCCATATTTTGTAAATATCACTATTACGAAGAGTGTTGGGCTTTCACCTCGTGTTGGTTTAATCTTTTTTTTCTTTCTTTCATTTCATTTTTAAACAATAGCATCCTCTTGATTAGTTCTTCTAGCCTGCTTAAGCTAAATGTTCTCGGAAGTGGCTTTGATAGCATTGAAGCATAAGACCTTGCCTTTGTCTTTTAACAAGAACCCACATAAGAAAGAGTGCAATCCTTGCTGTACTAAGTAGGGGAAGGATAGATTCATGTTGAAGCTTTGAAAGTTTTCCAGCATACATGGAGAGAAAAAGGACAGCTAGAGAAAGGATACCATCAGTTTCACTTGTGTTTAAGTTTTGTTTAGTTTTTAATTTGATTCTAGGTGTGGCCATTTGAATCGGGAATTGCTATGAACTTTATCATAGTTCTTGAGACCACCTTTTAGAATGGTCTGCAAAAAAAACCTTTGCCTTCTTGGGAGATCTTGCTCTCCATAAAGCTTCGAGGATTCACCAGGGAGATTACTGGTGCCACTATGAAGTCGAAAAGAAAACTTGCAAGAATAGGCATTTGATTTATCAAGAATCCTAACCCTTCTATCTTCATTAATGGTGAGAAGGCCACCATAAATTTTCTCCATCAGTTCCAGCCAATCTTTCCACCTTCTAATCCAAAAGATTCCTCCCAAGTTCTCAAAAGTCCGAGTGGTTGGTCTTTACGATCTGTTCCCTCCTGATAGAAGTCTTTCAATTGCTTATCTGGGTATTACCAAGGGCTTTAAAAGTTCCTCATGAGAGAAGGTCCATTATCCAGGTCTCTGGAAGGAATTCCATCTATCCTCTTAACATGGTGAAGACAGAAGGATGCTTCAATCAGCAGTTTCCAAAATCGAAGGAGAAGGATAGGGAAGCAATCCGTTGTCATTCTATCTAGCCGGTTCACTTTATCATCACAGTATTTCCCCACCCATTCCTTACAGATGAGAAATTGGTCATGCATACATGGCTGCACTTCTGACATTTGAACTTGTAAAACGCTCATTTCTAGGACAGAGATCAATGAGAGGTAGATCATTAATCACTCGGTAAATTTTGTGATGGTGGAGGAGGTGCTTTTCCCCACCCATTATGCTTAGTACTATCCTGAAACATTGAAATCACCACCTATGACCAAGTCACAGGAACAGAGGCTACCAGGTCTTCCAACCCTTGCCAAAAAAACGACACCTCTTCGATATGAAAAAAATGATGAATCCAACCAATTAAAATAAATACCTTCCAAACCTTTATCAAGAAATGTCCAGGCTTCTTGAACTCCAGATAACTTAATATAGGGCTTGTTCTACAAACAGCCACAATTTGGCTTTCTTGCAGTAATACAAGTCTGGATTTTACCCTCCCATATCGAAGTGTTGATCAAGCATCCATTCTTACCGTTGCTTCAAGCCTTCTTAACATTCCAACTTAAGATTCTCGTTGATTATTTCTCTTTTTAGTGTCACTCATCATAACAATTGTTTAAGGGAGCTCATTTAAGGAGTTTGTAACAGCCCAAGCCCACCGTTGGCAGATATTGTCCTCTTTGGATTTTTCCTTTCGGACTTCCCCTCAAGGTTCTTAAAACATATCTGCTAGTGAAAAGTTTTCACACCCTTATAAAGGGTGTTTCGTTCTCCCCTCAACCGATGTGGGATCTCAAAGTCCACCTCCCTTCGAGGTCCAGCATCCTCGCTGGCACTCGTTCCTTTCTCTAATCAATGTAGGACCCCCTCCAAATCTACCCCAATTTGGGGGCCAGCATCCTTGTTGGCACATTGCCTCATGCCCACCCCCTTCGGGAGCCTCCTCACTGGCTCATCTCTCGGTGTCTAGCTCTGATACCATTTGTAACAGTTCAAACCCACCGCTAACAAATATTGTCTTCTTTCAGCTTTCTCTTTTGGGAAATATCTTGGTTGAACCATGGAAGTATTAACTGTAGAATTGTGTATTCCTAAGTATCTCTCTCGGCTAAACTAGACATTTAACTATTTAGCAGACGGACCATCATGTCTTTAATAAATCCCTTTCTTAAACCTTCCTTCCAAGTACCTTGTCCAGCTAAACTAATTTGACGAATTAACATATTAATGTACCTTAAATTATATCTTAGCTAATGGCTACACTTTTCGGAAAATGCAGAAGAACTGGAACCTTTTTAGCGTCAATGTTGCAATGGCAGGGACTGGCATCTACCAATTGACAAGAAAAATACAGTACGTCGTCGCTTCCGTAGGCTCGTAAAGAAAAAAATACTGCATGGTCCTTGTGGGACGTGGGGATTTCATTGTGATCTAAAGTCTAGGATAAACAAAACGATCTTATGAAAAATAAACAACATGCCAAGATTATTATTACCTTAAACTTTGCATAGTTCTTCATTCATCGTAGATGGCCGACTAATTCAACATTTCATTTGCAAATGTTCCAGGCACGATTATTTCTCAAAGGAGGAAGTGGCTGCTATCGAAGAATGATGACGAAATATTACATTATTTGCCTCTGTGATCACCTGAATTTCCCTTACGTCCATGTGTTGCCTCTTCCAAATCTTACCTAGAAAGCGCTACCTGAATTCCCTTTTTTATTACAAATCCATTCATACCCTTTATTTTACTTTTGTACTTTTGTAGCCATGAAACTGAAACTGTTTGGAAAAATATACGAGATCTTGATTTATGCAACATCTTCTATGAAACTGTAACCTCCCAAACACACCGCTAGCAGATAATGTTTTCTTTAGACTTTTACTTTCACGTTTTCCCTCGAAACTTTAAAATGTATTTGTTAAAGAAAAGTTTTTACACCCTCATAAAGGGTATTTCGTTCTACTCTCTAACCAATATGGGTTCTTACAATCTGCTTCTAAATAGATAAGTTGTGGAAATCGTGCATTAATAACGTCTTGGAGAGAGAAACATAGACATGGTAGGAAGAGATATGAAAAGAAAAAAACATCAAACGATCAAAATAGCAAGGCTTTCTTAACTCTTAGGGTCCATTAGATAATCATTTGACAGAAACCAAATAAAGCTAAATCCTCAGTGGGGATAATCGTACACAATTCCCTCGACTCTCGATACAGCTTCTAACATCGATATCGAATTTCAAAGATAAAATATGGTACTGTTTATCTTTTTCTGTGAACAAATCAAAATTAGCTCAAATAAGCAATCATATCATACTAGTATTGAAGAACCATATACTTCCAGGATTAGCAGAGATGTGGGATGTCAAGTAACACAGTTCCAACAAGAGAATTGAATTTGTAAGGACGAAATTGCAGCTGCTTCTAAAAGTTAGCTCTTCCTCTTGCCATCTCTAATGTGATCAGCTTTTGAACCAGCTTCGCCATCGTCGTTGAGAGCATTCAAGTTCAGACTTAAATCCAAAGTACTTTCGTTCAAATCTTGGCGCACTACATGGTCGTTGTCCTGAGACATGAAATCAAGAGGTGAACCGGTGAACCGGTTTCATCTCAAAGGTTGCAGGTTAACATGTTTATGACGAAAAATAAATTACCTGACTTTCGTCCATTGGGACATCGTTAATATTTGGTTTCTCGTCTTGAAGATCGCCCTTGGCACTCGCCACTGCACTTCCTGGTTCAACATCATTTGATTTGTTAGCTTCATATTCAACTTTGTCAGCAGCTTCATTTTCTGCAGCCTCGTTTTTCTGTTCCTCTAATACAGCAATCTGCAAATGAAACAGATACATAAATGCCTTTCTAACCACTCATTTCTTACATTTTGTCAGGAATACACAGTAATTAGCTGATGATCGGTGTGTCTAACAGAGCTTATTACGGTACTTCCTCTCGTAGGAAAGACTTCTTGATAAGGAATCAACCCAAGGAAAAGTTCTGATATCAAATGATAAGGAATCACTACAAGGTAAATAAGATTTAGATTACCAATTACCTTGTTGATCGAATATCTCAAGACAAGAACACTTGTTTTAGAATTGCAAAGAAACTTAGCAATTGGCTAAGAGAATGGCTAAGGGAAAGCACAAATTATATAGCCTCAAAATGGAACCCTTGACCTCCCATTAGGCATTTCAAGAGTAGTAACATTCCTACTTTATGACCGTAAGTGTAAATGTAACCTAAAGTAAATAAAAAGTACTAAAATGCATTAATGAAACATCGTAACCCTAAATTATGATCCACCCAAAATTTATAACAATGAAACTTCATTCTTCTGGCGTGAATTGAAACATCTTTTGATAATTTTGACAACATTTTCTTTACATCTTCCTTGAAGTTTATATTGCATGATTGATGTATTGGTTCATATCACTTCTCTAAACGGGAGAGACACTATAATCCCAACCACAAAGTCTAAATAACGAAGCCATTCAAATCTTCACCAACACATTTACACAAGATACACTAATTAGCGTTAGGCCACACACAACGTTAACTCTGACAAGGAGAAAGGTTGAATATTGGGATAGGAAAAAGGAGATTATTGTATAACATTGTAACATATATGACATGTAAACAGTGCCATTTGAAAAGGTGTCCTATTAAAACAAGAACTGTGCTTGTTTCAGCAGAGTTATAACAGCAATATAAAGCTACAATCAACGCAAGTGTTAACAAAGTTTCTGTTTATTAACCGAGTTCACTGTAGCAATATCCCTCTAAAACAAGCACCCTTTTTTGATAGGACATACTTTTTAACAGCATTAAAAAACTACGATCATTGCAAGTGTCAACAAAGTATCTGTTCATTAACAGAGTTCATTAAAGCAACATAAAGCAAATAAACAGCCAACGTACTTTCAAAAATTTTGTATTCATCAGGCAGTCCTGTCACATTCCAACCCACTTTTCCCTTTTTAAGATCCTTCATAGGGTCGCTAATTATATGAAGAAGAACATGGGGAGGTCTTAGTTGCCTGTTCGAAACCTAGCCTAGAAGCACAGACATGAATTGTGAGATCCTGCATCGGTTGGGGAGGAGAGAAAAATATTCTTTATAAGGGTGTGGAAACCTCTCCCAAGCAGACGCGTTTTAAAAACCTTGAGGGGAAGCCCAAAGAGGACAATATCTACTAGCGGTGGGCTTGGGTCGTTACAAATGTATTAGATCCAAACACTGGGCAATGAGCCAGCGAGAAAGCTGAGCCCCGAATGGAGGTGGACATGACACCGGGGGATGTACCAGCAAGGAGGCTGAGCACCGAAGGGGGTAGACACGAGGCGATGTGCCAGCGAGGAGGTTGAGCGCCGAATAAGAGTGGACATGAGGCGGTGTGCCAGCGAGGAGGCTAAGCCCCAAAGGGGGTAGACACGATGCGGTTTGCTAGCAAGGACGCTGGCTCAGAAAGGGGGTGGATTGGGGACTCCCACATCGATTCGAGAAGGGAACAAAGCATTCTTCATAAGGGTGTGGAAACCTCTCCCTAGAAGACGCGTTTTAAAAAACTTAAGGGGTAGCCCGAAAGGGAAAGTTCAAAGAAGACAATATCTACTAGTGGTGAGCTTGGACCGTTACATGAATACACAACAAGGATACTACATGACACGGACACGAAGACATGCTAATAATGGCGATTGGATTGTACCGCCTCGTAATGCTAATAAACTAGCCTAGAATACTCAATAGGCTCCTAAAAAGAAGTACTAATCACCAAACTAAAATGGACGAGTTTAAGAACAGAAACCAAAGGCCTCTAAAGCTACCTACCATTAGGTCCATTAAACTATCCTCTTGTTCTGAATACAATAAAAACCGAGGATAACTTTAAACGAGTATCAACAACATTTGATAATCTTCACAACCTCTAGAAAGAAGAGCTTCAAAAATGGCCTTATTACTACAAGTATCCATATGAACACCCAGTATCCTCTTGATTTCAAGGAAGGACGAGAGACGACCTTCCAATTGACCAAATGACTACCAATACCCTTATGCTCACCTTCCCAGAAATCTCTAAACAACGTAATAATCTTTCAATGGGTTATATCTAAATCTTTCTGTCAGATTAATTTCTTTCTCTGGCTATACATCAGCTTAAAGGAACTCATTATGTTCTTGTCTATTCTACACTTCTTTCCTTCAAGTTCTAAAAGCTCCAATAGTGCCCTATAGTATAAGAAGACTTGGAATAATAATTGGAATAGTAGAAACTCCACAGCCGAAGCCATGAATCTATAAAAATGCCTCATAAGTATTTTCATTCCAACAGGAATAGAACAATCTGGATAGAAAGCACTTTCTTATTACGTTGGAAAATTCCCATCAAAGTTTTGCTAAGAATATTACATGGTTATTCTATCATTCGTTCTCAAAATCATTGATGAAAGCACTTCTTATTACGTTGGAAAATTCCCATCAAAGTTTTGCTAAGAATATTACATGGTAATTCTATCATTCGTTCTCAATATCATTGATGAAAGTTGTTCTTTCATATATATATATAACTATATTGCTTTGAACATTTAAAGAATAATAGACCTTTGGGTAAATTATAAAGTCTCTACGGTAGGGAGAGACTATTTATGAGCGTTTTATCAAACCATAAGGACTAATTCTAACATTTAACACCATAAGGACTACATTCAACTTCCTCTCCTCCTAATTTTCTGTAAGCCATATGGACCAAATTTATAATTTAAACTAATTTTTTTCTCTACCATAAAAGCTAAGAAAATTTTCCCTATCCTTCCTGACCTTTTCAAAGGATCTATCTTAAAGCAGAAGCCCTTTTGGTGCCACATTTTTCAAAATACCAATGTAATAAATCTCGCAACTCACCACACAATCTCTCCACTTCACTGGAAAATCCATTATAACACTCAAGCTAAATACCCTACAAAATGGCAAAGAAATTAGCATGCCACAAGACTGTCCTTTTCACATAATGACGAGCTTAGAAGCACCAACTCCACCCCAAAATAACAATCCTTATTCCAAGCCAAGCGAAACCTAAACGACTTTAGCCACTATGCCAAAAGAGGTCGAGTGTAATAACCTGTACAGCTGACAATAAATGGGGAGAGAGAAGGCCAGCTGTACAACCCTTTTTGGGTAAAGAGGAGGAAAAAAAAAAGAGAAAAAAAGGAATAGGAAAGGGGTAGGTCTGCCACCTACTCCGATTTCCTCTTAATTTCAGTTAGTGAGAGGCCAAGGTGTTTAAATCAGAGGGAGGGGGTTTGAAGGAAGGGAGTGTAAACGTCAGGTGTTTTATTGGAGTCAAGGCAACGCCACGGGAGAAATTCTGACGAAGGAGCTCACAACGTTAAGGATCCACCATCGCGAGGCCATAAGCTTGCAAGGACGACCGTTACTCGTAAACAAAGTCGGACAACTAGGGGCCGAAGTAGAGGAAAAAAGGATCGTGAGCAAGGGACGAAGAAATTTAAGAAGAGGAAATCGTGGTTCTCTACAACAGCAAAATGGAGGAAGAGAGTTATGAGGAAGAAGGAAAAGGCGCGACCCAACCCGTGCTACCGAAACCGCCTTCAATCGAGCGATAGCGACCAACCCGCCTTTCTCTGACCCAAGCTTACCCGACGGGTGCTGAATCGAACCACTTAGTTAAACCTCCGACTCATCTAGTTGACTCTGACCCACTACCTAGACCCGACCCGAAGGTGAGCATGACCCAGGATCAAGAGACCCAATTCTTGCCAATTGTACCATTTTGACCCAATTTTTATGGTTATGATATCTTTTCTTAATCTAGAACCTAACTGACGATTTTTGAAGGAATTAGAAACTCTTGAAGACCCAAAACAAACTCGAGAATTCTACAACCAAGTAAGTAAACATAATGCAAGTTTCTAAGAAATGCTTGTAGGAGTCGATTTGGAATGTGGGCAAATAATCTAGTTAGGTGTAATTCCATGAGAATTGTACTTCGATAACAGAAATGGTTAAACCTTGGTAATAGTTATGGTTATATAGCTTCCGCTTGCATGAATGTGAGATCTTTGATAGGCGTTTGGATTTACATGCTTCTTAATATGTCGAGGTAGATGGTTATTATTTAATTAGCACGATAGAATGTTGTATGTCTTATTCATTGTTATACAATCATTTGAAGTTTGGATAGCCCACTATTTACCAGTTGTGTGTTGGTCCAATTGCTACGTGCTAAAGCATGCAAATTAAGTATCTCTAATGGCTACTCATATCCTCTATGAGTGACAACTATAAAACAAAACCGTAGCCATAATCTTTGAAATACCTAATTCGCATTCTCTAGCACATAGCAATTGAACCAACACACAACTGTGCAATAGTGGAATATCCAAACCCCAAATCAATGTATAACAATGAATAAGACATACAACATCATCTACCTCGACATATTAAGAAGTATATAAATTCAAACGCCTATAAGAGATTTCACATTCATGCAAACAAAAGCTATATAACCGTAACTACCACCAAGGTTTAACCATTTCCGTCATCTATGTACAATTCTCATGGAACTACACCTAACCAATCCCTAAATATGGTACTAAATTATTTGCCCCCACATTTCAAATTGCAAGCATTCATTAGAAACTTGCTCCATGTGGTTACTTATTTGGTTGTAGACTTCCCGAGTTTGTTTCGGGTCTTCAAGAGTTTCAAATTCCTTCAAAAATCCTCAACTAGGTCCTATAGGTCCTATATTAAGAAAAGATATCATAACCATAGAAATTGGGGTAGAAATTGAGTCAAAATAGTGCAATT